TGGAGTAGCAATAGATATACTGTAGAGAAGATTGAAAAGAAGTTGGGGCAAAATTACTACTACATTGAGGGCATTGATAGGCCGTATTTGCGGTTTGAGTTATTGAAGGTTTAATTTAAGTTGTTCGCTGCTTTACGAGTAAGTTGCGTGTCGTTTGACGGGTAAGTTGTTCGTTGTTTTACGTGTGAGTTGTGCGTCGTTTTACGCCAAAAACATTCAATTTATTCTTGTTGGAATGGCAAATTATTCTTGTCGGAACAACGAACCATTCCAGGTTGAACCCTAAATTATTCTAGTTAAAACAATAGACCATAAGCATAAGAAAATTATATTTCATCAGAAGTTAGGAAAAAAGAAAATTTATAATGGACCGATTCTATACTTGAAATACTACTCAGCTATAATAATCAGATGAAGCATTCGGCCACTGGCTTAACTCCAAAGGAAGCACGGAAAACAGAGAACGAGATGAAAGTCAAAATTAAGTTAGGGATGAATGCAAAGAAGTATGGTAAGAGGTTAAGATATTTAGGAGAAAGAAACTTCACGAAGAAAGAAAGGGTCGGGAATTTCAGTCAGAACCGCTAGACAGTCGAACGAATTGAAAAGAAAGTAGGGCAAAATTACTATTATATTGAGGGCACTGACAGACCTTGTTTGCGTTTTGAATTGTTGAAGGTTTCATAGAGACCTCAAACCTGCAGTACATACAACTCTCAAACTTCGCTCGCCAGCTCCAGCTTGGAGAAAACAGACCGAAACGGACTATCAGCACCGAAATCAAAAAGTGAATGAGAAACCTTCTGCATCGCCTGGATTTGCATCACATGAGCGTTGGATACATGCGTATGATCATGGTGACACATAGGCTTAAACCCGACGCCCCGACCTTCAGTCATAGACGACAAAACACTGAAGGGGCAGGTCTTGCAGGAGGGATGGCATGCTCCACGCATAAGTCACGACTACCTTCAGCAACGCATCAACTGCAATCATGCAGGAAAATTGCAGGCTTCTGGGCACAGCGCTCAAACACCAAATTTGTAACTCGGACGCAACTTAGTAGTGCCGCAACCTGTGTGAAACTCTCGCATCACCAACTGGGGTTCGCAGAATTCAACCACTAGCGCCGTGCTCGCTTTGCGCTGGCGCGCTTCAGCAGCTTTAATCGACGCCGCGACTTGGATGAGGAAGCTGTTGAAACTGCATCGGGCTGGCGTCTGCGTTGAGGCTGTGGCCATGCTTCACGAGGGGCATATTGTCGCACCACTGCCATCTGAACTCGGAGCTGCTTCTTCAGCTTTCGCTTGGCATCCTTGAGCTTTTGCTTGAGCTTTTGCTCGATATTCTTGAGCTTTTGCTCGGCATTCTGCTCCTGAAGATGGAGCTGTCTCTGGGGCCATTCAAGTGCAGCTTTCGATGGACAATGAAGTGCCGTGCATATGCCACCTCTTGGAATAAATGGCGGAGATGCAAAGTCTTTTCCGATGAATATCAAAAGAACATTCATGCCAGTCTTCTTGGCCACCTGTGCTAGCCAACGCAGCTTCTCTGTTTTGTCGACCCTTCGTTTAACTTTTTCTGCCTGGGCCTCACCCCAGCTCACTGAAGTGATTTCACAGTAAGCGCCGTTGGAAGGAATCAGCGCATGCAGGTCTTGCCAGTCCAGAAAACGTCCCGACTGATGTCGGAACGCGGGCTCTGCTAACAGCTCCAAATCCATGCCTTGGCGTGGCTTCACTATGGCATCAATCTCTCGGACAGGCAACTTCCAGTTCCAAGCAAACCAATAAATGTTTTCCTGTTTTATCGGGTCGAATGGATAATGTTTTGACTCAGCGTTCTGCTTCCAAAGTTGTTTCAGCTCCTCTCTAGAAGCACGCCCTTGCAGAAAGCGCCGGCACTCGTGTCTCAAACGCCAGTTGGCATCTTGGTCTTGACTTGCTTCCTTCCCCTCACTGTCAATCAACACATTCGAGCGGACGAAGAAAGCGTTGGAGAGAATGTTGCAAACCGCCCTCTCAAATCCTGGGCCAGAGAAATCACAGTCTGGATAGGAGGACCAAAACGACATGTGGGCCGCGAAGCAACCTGAAATCTTGACTACATCTGAGCCAGAAGGCTTACCAAGCGACTGACCTAAGGAAACCCGACCATACGGCTACACGGCCTGGAATTTCCACCAACATGGCCTTGCCCCAGTTGGGGTGATTGAGACGTGGGGAGGTCAGAAGGTGGTTTCTTGAATGCGGTGAGGGTTGGGGTGATGTGGTATGATTTTATTCTAGTTATAATCTGTGTATTCGTTCTACCTACCTACCTATGCCTACTTAGGTTGTCTTTCCTAAGGGTTTTCGGGAGAACGGGATAATCTGTTTCGGGGGCATAGGACAACCTAAATTCTATAAGGATGGCCTTGCCCAGTTTCAGGGGTTGGAGTTTTGGGTGGGAAGGTTGAGGTTTTGGGAGTTGGAGATGTTGAAGGTGTTTTTTTGGAAGGGTGTAGGGGTTGGGGTTAAGGTTGTTCTTGAGGTGGGGGTCTTTCGGTGGTTTTTTGGAAGGGTGTAGGGGTTGAGGCGTTGGAGGGTTGGAGTTGAGAGGGTGTTTTTTGAATGTGGGTGTGGGTTGGAGGGTTTTTGAGGTCAGGAATTGGAGAGTTAAATGCGTATGTAGTTCTTAAAGGGGTGTTGAGGCATAGGGGGGGGTCTAGCGGTTGAAAATGGGCAAGGTCATTGCTAACTGAAACACCCCCTTTAACAAAACAAAATAGCTAGGATGGAGGAACAACCAAGAAAGCTGGAGCCGTGGGACATCAGATGCAACACTAACATTCTAACAATATCGCGACACTTGTGATAATTACATTTTACTGACACAATACCTTATCCATCTCACTTTCTTATCTAAGCAGGCTTGTACTACATCGTACCTCCAGCAACCATTGCACGGAAAGCACAAATCATCACTCCTCCTTCCATCTTTTCTTCTTTTATTCTTTCCGTCCTTCATTTCTATCAAATAGTTGCTGTTGCATCCTTGCTCACTTGTTTGGCCCGTTTTCTCCCAGTTGCCAAATGGCCGCATGGACCAAATTGACCTGGTGACGTCCTCCTACAAGGCAGGATGAACTCCAAGAAAACTTTCTCGTCCGGTGTCCCCTAAACCGTAAACCCCAAAACCCCAAAACCCCAAAACCCCAAAACCCCAAAAGCCCTAAACCCTAAACCCCTACAGCCCCAAGACCCCAAAACCCGCCCTGCGATCTGTGGCCCGGGCGCTGGGGGCCGTGGAGGACCTGGAGGCCCCGGAGGGGCTGACCTGAGAGATGAAGAGAGGAGGAGGCTTCTTTGAGGGATTTAGTAGAGTTTAGGGATTCAATTGCTTGGGGTTCAGGGTTTTTAAGCTTAAGATGTGGGAAGATGTTGCCTTTTGAGGCTTAGAGTTCAGAGTCGGTTACCTTCTCCTTGTCTCCGGGCACCAGGCGATGGAGGAGCCACAGGGGCGCCAAATGTGTCCAGGAACTCACCTGGAAGGGCGGGGAAATGCGGGGAACCACCCTCATCGCTTCTCAAAGCCCATCCCAGAGGAGCAGGCCATAGTCCACATCGCCTAAGCCTGGCACAACGAGGCATGGCGCACATGAGATCACATTATCTACACCGATGCCGGGAGCACAGTTCTTGTCGGCGAGCAAGGCCAGCAAGTCGAGACTGAGAACAGGTTGGCATGGCAACGGGCTGAACACTCTGCATTCAACACGCTGCTCGAGGGCCCTGCTGTGGAGGAGTCAGCACGGGAACAAGCTCCTCTGCTCTCAACGAGACCGAAAAAGATCCAGGACCGCGCCGCCACAAAAAAAGAAACAAGAAAGAAAGCAACAGAGTCGTCTCCTGGAGCGTGTCTTGGAAGATGCTGGGGGCCAAAGTGCCACTGCGCTCGATGTCCTTCGCCCGCAGCAGATCGTGGAGGCGCTTTCCCGGTGGTGCCAGGACCTGCGGGAAACGTCCAGGGGACACTCCCGATGAGGAACATTGAGCCGGCTCTGAATCCCACCTGCCGAGCCCAAGTTTCGTACCTCAGGGTTTCAACCACCCTGCTGTGTTAAAGGCAACCGGCGCGCAAATCTGGCCGGATTCTCTGCCAGGGAACTGCTTCACTTCATCTGCCACCTCCTGTAGGTAAGCGCTGAAGGCGTCCTGTCAGCCGAATCCGCTCCCAGGATTGACCACTTTATGCAAAGCAAACGAGCGAAACGAGTCAGGTGCGACTTGTCCCTACCACTTGCTGCTGCATCATGTGGCACATGCATGCTGATGCCCCGAAGCCGGTCCAGGGATATCTTGGCACCAGGTGATGGAGACAAAGCTGACGTCAACTGCTTGATCTCATCGTCGCTGAGGCCTCGCGAAGAGAAAGCCACAGCCACGGTGCACCGAAGGATTCGATTCCGGGACCCGACTGCGGGCCACAACCGAGCCCCCGCACCCAGGGGCATCGTCATCAGAGCGTGGCCCATGGCATCCGGCGTGAGCGCTCCGTCGCCACTGGCAAGCCAGACAAGATGAATCCAGCAAGGAACCCTAAACCCGAAACCCTAAACCCTAAATAAACAAGAAAATAGCCAGGTCGGCTCATCATCGAAGGATGCACAGGACGAGATCCAGTTCAGCTTCTGACCTCGAGCACACGGAGCTAAGATCATGCCATCCACGAAGTTTGCTTGCAGTTTGCCGGGATTTGGGACCCACCAGCCGTCGCCGGATGCGCGCGATGATGACGAGGATCTTGGACCTCAAAGCTCTTCCCATTACAAGATATGATACAAAACAGAATGGAACAGGTCCGGGTCCAAGCTCCCGAGAAGGCCCCGGCTCTGGCGCAAGAGGGGCAGGGCCGGGTGCCTGGCTAGGACCCTCTAAGCCAACCAGAAGGAAAGCTCTACCCCCCGGATTTCGGCGCACCGGCGGGGTTTCTTTGGGAGGTGGCGGAGGAGGCGGAGGCGGCTTCGCAGCTCCTCCGGGCCTGGCTTGCATGCATTCACGGGACAGACATGCTTGCATCTTTGAGGCATGAGGCGTCCAGAGCGCCTCAGAGTGGTCTTCTTGCCAGCCGGCTCCAAGGAGGACGGCGGACTGGGGGTGGCCACAGGGGCCGATTGCTTTGCCAGGTAAGCCTGCCGTGCGCCACGGGCGGCTCTGTCGGAATGGCGACCAGTCAACGAGTCGTCGAAAGAGCCCTCCTTGACGTACGGGTTGGCGAAGAGCTCGTTGATTGAAGGCCGGGACCTGGATACGGATGCAGGCAAGCTCTACCAGGGCCCCTGCAGATCAAGAGGTCGACTCGGCATTCTTCATCAACAGCTTGTTGATCAGATCATTCAGCTCTGGCCTTCAGAGATCTGGAAACAACGACGCCCAGGCATGCATCAGGGATGCTAAGATCGACACGAATAGAAGGACGGAATTGGGTCCTGGGCTTTGTAGCATCATGGCATCGGCAACATGAGAAGGCTGGACGAAAGCTCCCAGGCGCTGGTTGGTGTGGGGCACCGGCAGCGACGACTAGCACTAGAAATTGCGTTGCTGGTACGATGGTAACGAAAACAGTTTGGGCGAGACAAAAGTGATCTGCAGCGTGCAGAATATTGATCTGCAGCCCGTCAAATAGATCCAAATAGTGATCTGCAGCGGGCGAAATAGTGTTGCGTAGCCCATATAATAGTCACATGCAACAGGCAAATAATGATCTGTGGCCCGCAGAACGGAAATCGACATTTTGGAGTGATGGGGACCGAAAGAATTGTTTTGGAGTGATCGGGACCGGAAATGGTGAGCCATCGGGACGGGAAGTAGTTTTGGAGTGTTCGGGACCGGAACCAATGATTTTGGAGTGATCGGGACCGGACATGATGATTAAATTCAATAAATGTCAATACCGCACCTACCTAGGGCTTGCACCGGATCACTGAGATTTAACAATCAAGGGGCGGGCCGTCCCCTGTTATCGACCTAAGAGGGTTAATTTGTCATTGAGCATAGGGTTCCGTGCCTTCGAAGCCAGAAAGCCTAAAATCTAGCTAAGTCCTCGCAGGACTTGGTTTCCTTACCGATGCACAAGACGACATCTCAAAACGAAAGCTTGATCAATACATAGAAGGAACATAATGGTCACTGACAATCTTGTAGACCAGGCCCAACCTTGGATGTACGCGCTTCAAGTCTGGAAGACTTCCATGAGCGGATACAATGATACAACTCCCACAATCCAGAATCCAGGCATGCGGCAGGGAGGAAGACTCAAAGGCATGCTTCAGCATGCAGCACCTGCAGTGTGCTGGAAGGCACCTACGCCTGCACTCTCAGGAAGCCACGAGGAGCCCTCTTAGATGGCCGCTCGTAGAGCACACATCCCAAAGCCTCACAAGCTCCGCAGCTCTGAGTCCCGTCACGTCGTGGCGGCCACTCCAACCGAGGTGACGACCCAGATGTCGGATTTCCAGTTATAAGGCTCGCTTCGACAAACTTCGGGAGACATGTAGTATGGCCTAGGTCCGTTACAGACAGGAAGCGATGCATCTTCTGATGAGTGCATTTCTGGGAGCACAACGTTCCGACTATAGTGACGGCGGCCTGCTGACAATAGAAGCACTGGCATGCCGGGGCATAGGTAGATTTTATTGAACTTGCCTCGGTGGTGCCTTCCAGCACGCGTGAGATGCCAAAGTCGCCGAGCTTGATTGCCGAGCCATCTGACACTCCACAACACTGTCACTGCTGTTGACTCAAACGAAGCTACCAAACCTGCCGGGCTTAAGGTCTGGAATATAACGACACAAGGCAGCCTTCGGTCAAGAAGATGTTGGAGGTTTTCAAATCTCGATGCAATACCTTCTCTGAATGGATGTACCTGACACACGTTGGGCTTGGGCAGCACGGCGAACCCTAACACGCATACCATACAACCACTGCAGTCGCGAGCACTGCAGCGCTAAGCAGAGCTGGACAAACCACGTCATGATTTGCCTTTCAGGACAACGGGCTTCGCGCACGGCTGGCTGCGTCATAAACTGAGACACGAACTCCTCCGTAAAGTGGCCGCCTTCCTTTGCTTTGTCCTGCCGTCGCTGATCTGCACTCCGCAGGTCCAGCACGCACCGAACAGCTGCCTTGATGGCTTTGCGAACATCGCCACCGCCGCAATACCTGCAACAAGTGACAAAGTCTGGTATCACAATGCCGACAGCAAACTCCTGAGCATGTGACTCCATCACAATCACCAAAGTGTTCGCCTGCCGTGTGCACTCACGGGCCGATGCAGACTGGAATGTTCGTTTCTGAAAGCAGCAGCGGCCGGCCCCTTCAATGAGAAAGCTATCCCGATATGCGACGATGTAGGGATGGCTCAGTGTCTGCAGGAGGAAGACCTGTTCGCGCACGTGTTCCGAGAATGCAAGACTTGTAGTCTGCACCGGCCTCTTGATGAGCCAAATCCTCAACAGAATGCCAGGGATTGTCCACTCGTGATTCCCTTGGCGAAACTTAGGAAAGGTCCTGGTCATGCTCGTTCAATGCCGCCAAGGAGATGCATTTGGCCACGAAGGTCTGTCCACTGGCCTGGAAGCCCTAAACCCTTATTAACCCTAAACTCTAAACCCTTCGAAGTGCTAAACCGGAGAAGGAAACTGGCTCAGTCAGGGCACCGTCTCTTTGACCAGCTGTGCACTGGCATACTGCCCACGGCCTCTTATTTGTCGCATGATGAAATCGTAGGATTGAAGACATGAAACTGCAACCAACGGCCTATGTGCTGCAGTCTCTCGAGCCCGAACCTGGGCATTAACGCAGCCGCTGCGTTGATCCGTCCGATTGCAACTCGCATCCCAAGATTGCTGTCAAACTGGGTTTCTTGCCCGGAGAGGTCAATCTCGGTGGTGGGTTTAGACATGGCAACAGCAATCCTGCAGAGATTCAGCTGCTGACACTGACACGCGCATCACATGTACTATCGCTAAAGCACATTGCAAAGCAATCCCTGGCCTGTCATGGATCAGGGCAACGACACCGACATGTACGTAACATAGCTAAACTTCTGAAGCTTGAATGAAGTTGTCGCATGTGGACTGATAGATTAACGTTAACTGTGCAACGGAACATTGCAGAAACAGATGCTCTGCATCGTGCCAAGTCCAACATGATGAATCTGCGCCTAGTATCGATCCAAGCAACTGATATTTGCGACAGCACAACATCCGTGACTCGGAATCACCTAAAGTCTCTGCGCGGCGCTCGGGGCTCATGATTGGCTGGCACGTTTCCAATGAAGACAACCCCGCAGCCTGGTGCATAGAGACAATTCTTCAATGTTTCTTTCCCTGAACGCCGCTCTTTCAGAGGTCTAGTGTAAGAATGGAAAGGCTTGAGGCTGTTGTGGTTGATCAGTTCTGGCCTCGCGAGCCACCCTCCATGGTACAATAACGACGTCTGCTCAGCAGAAGTGCCATACGGGACGATACAGGATTGACCACCGTACCACTATTCTCCCCCTTCGCTCTACTGGCGGCATGCCAACTGGAAACACGACAAACTTCATGCACCTGAAGCCCGCACGTCTTGAAAAGCTCTTGAGAAGCTCTTTGTCTTGCAGCTGTGACCTACGCTCAAGATTTTCGAAGTACTTCTAAACTCTAAACATTGAGCGCACTCCGTTGCCCGACACATGCAATTCTCATGAGCAGGTGTTTCTAGTTTGAAAGATTCGACATTATCATACCGAAAGTTTCCCTCACTACTTCCTGATTTCATACTGCGTATTTCATTCTGGCCCGTATCAACCTGCATCCTACAGGCAAAACCACCACGGACTGCGTAGCCGACTTTTTCCCACAATCTCGCTCCCCGGTGCCACGGACCAATTCCAGCAGAAGACACGACCTGGCAAAAATCGCGATCGAACAATCCAGCAGTCGGGTTCTGAGATTCGTACTGGATTTCCCCCACAAGCTTAGATCCTGGCGGGAAGGTTATTGCAGGTGGCAAAAACTTGGTGGATTCCAGATTTGCTTTCAAGGCTTCGATGGGCGGCGCTTCGGGCACGAACGACCAGAGCTACTGCTAGTGTCTGATCGACATGTTCGATACAAATGCAGCTTCGGGTCTCGGGGTAATCTTGGACCCGACTGTCAGGGGACAGGATCCTACAGTTGCCACGATTCCTTCAGAGTTCCCAACTGTTCACGAGGCTTCTAAGGGCTTGGGAGTCTGATGCCAGCTCCTTGAACCGACACTTGAACCTCCCAAAACTCAAATCCGCAATGACTGCGGCAAACGTTCCTGACTGCTAATCGGAGCACGCTCTGCAAAGAAGATCTAATCTGCAGCTTCTACATGAAAGTGCTTTCACTTTGCAGAGGGCCTCCTCTGATACCATAACGCATATCAGACCCTTGGTTGTGTCTGAGACGCGTTCGTACTCCGAACTTCCCACCCCGTGCATGTCGCCTCTCAGCTCATTGCAAACACAGCAACATACACGTCGTGTCCTGTGTGACACTGCCGTCTCATGAATGCCCATAAGAGCCTCTTGCAGCACATTGCTTCTCCAGCTCTTTTCTGGACATCTCTTTCCTGCATTGGGTAGCGGCATCAGATGGAGGGAAACTAGAAGCGCTGCGCCGCTGATCATCCCGACGCACGTTAAGCAAGGTTATCCTCCAGCCAGAACCAACCACCTTAGGTTCCGGACTGCGATTGTGGTGGAGTGGGGATAGCTAGATAAGATGACCATGACGAATAAGAAGTAGAATGGTAAGTAAGAGCCAGAAGATAAGAAAGACGACGATGGTGACTCTTGCGGTTATGCCGGTTATGCTCATATTGATAGTTCAATGATGGCCACCATGAACGTGATCATGATGATCATGATGATCGTGGTGGTGGTGGTGGTGGTTGTGGTGGTGGTGGTGGTGACGCTGGCGTTGCTGCTGCGAAGCAGTCGCTCCTTCAGACCCCTCCCGCCACGCATGCCAAACGCCGAATACACAGCTGCAAGCAGGAGCCGTTGGGTCATGGTGGACCATCAGACATATGGTAAACGAAACAATGGAGAAACAAAGCAAACAAGATCGAACTACGACAGCACTGGGTGCCCTGGAACAACCCAGGCCGTAAACCTGCATCAAGAGCCATACAAAAAAACTGAGGGGTGGGCTCTTGCATAAACTTAAACAACACAACGACAGTATTTCCCTCGCACTCCCTCGTATGTCTTGACACTGTCTTGCAGCTCTCTGCACTCAGCAAAGCAAACCAAGGGCGCTCCATTCCCCAAAACATTGCGATACTGATCTTGAGCGCGCCCCTCGAGTTCAAAGGTTTGTTTGAAATGCCCACTAGCCTGCGCACGCATACGACCAAATACACTACATAACCCAGTCACCACAAATGAGCGTTTGACATCTAAGCGTGCCCGGCTTTCGATTTTGCCTTCTGGCATTGGCATAGCATATCCTTAAGTGTCGTGGATAATCTTGAAAACAAATTACTGCAAGCAACTGGCTTGTGCACAATGTCGACGCAGAATTCGCATAAGTGCTCATGCTGCACAGTCGAAGAGGATCGAGTTTTTTTCTAATCTGGAAAACGACAGGTGTTCACACAGCACAAAACATCCTCTCTGCAACAACAAAAGGGGCCACATGTGGCGCGTACACACACACACAAATGGACCGTTTTTAGAAGCAGCAGTGGCGGACAGCATGCGATTCTTGCAGAAACTCACTGACCGCCGTTCTGGGTAGGCGGCCATTCCGCGCATCGGTGCTACGGCTGACATGACCCGTCCGCCCTCCCGTGGCGCAATCTATCACCGTGGTTGCCGATTGCATGGTTGTTAAAGCAATCCTCAGCAATTGGTCGGGCAAGATCTAAATTGCAAAGCCCACTTCTATGCTCCGTGCTCGGCATGCACGAAACCCGGCGAAAGTGTCACCTTTTCGGCAGCACCAGTGATGCCCAGTGACCAGGCTTGCTGTGCAAGAGCTTGGCAAGCAGCCTTGACGACTTGGCTGAGCGTCCACAAGCAGGATACGTCACTTCTGCCCGCAACAAGGTACCGTCTAAGGTGCCTAAACACATTGTTGGGCGTCATAGACGAGTGTGGTGTCACCAACAATCATGTTACTGTGCCGGATTATCTTGCTTCGCTTGATCAATTGCATAGCTGCACAAGATTGCTGCTGTCGTTGTCTCTAATCCTGCAGCAGCTCAGGTTGTCATGTTGGCTGAGAAAACAAGAAAGAAACTGTGAAAGATTGTGACCGTCA